ATGTGCTTATATAAGGCAATATGTCATTGATAATGATGATTTGTAGAGTTATTTTCATTTTTTTTTATTTTCATTTTGTATTCATAGGTCTGAAATGTTAAGGGCTGACACCTTCTATAATAGCAGTGGATTGAGATGTCTATGTTGAAAAACAAAGAAGTTATTGAATATTGAAATGAGCTGTATTGCACTTTTACGACGGTCCTTAACTCCGCCTATAGTCACCGGCGCGTTGGACAGACATTCAGTTCTTTGCGCTCCCAGCTGCATCATCATTTTTGGTTATTTGAAGTTTATCAAAACTGTGAAACGTCTGCCTTAATCTGCTCTCCAACATATCCCCAAACTGTGAGAAATCGAGGCTTTGACTCGGAGCTATTGAAGGTAATCGATGCGAACACAGGCGAATGTCAAATATGAAACTATCTTCACCCCGGTACCTGCAATTCCTCCCTTCTGATTGGTCAATCCCCCCTGCTCTCCCGTGTGTGGGGAGGGGGGCATTTCTACAAGTAGTTTGTGCAGTTGTAGCTGCAGATTTGAGAAGTTTTAATTGGAGAGTTGTGGTTGTAAAAGATAATAGGCACAAGTTATAAAAAAAAGAATCTGAGTACATGATGATTTTTACATACAAGTTCACTTTTTTTTTCTCACATCTCATTCTACAAGCTCTCGCATCTCATTCTACAAGCTCTCACATCTCTTTCTACAAGCTCTCATCTCATTCTACAAGCTCTCATCTCATTCTACAAGCTCACATCTCATTCTACAAGCTCTCGCATCTCATTCTACAAGCTCTCACATCTCTTTCTACAAGCTCTCATCTCATTCTACAAGCTCACATGTCATTCTACAAGCTCTCATCTCATTCTACAAGCTCTCATCTCATTCTACAAGCTCACATCTCATTCTACAAGCTCTCACATTTTGCAACATATCTACCTTCATATGTCATCTCTCTCATTCGTAGACCTTTTTTGCAGTATACTGCCGCTTGGTGGTTTGGACATTGTACTACAAACTTAATGGTTCAAATTAGCTAACAAACAGTCTGTCCTCTATAGTGAGAGCCATGTATTTATGGTACGTATAGTAGACCAGTCTAAACTGTGATGTGTTAACTAAAGTAAAACTCTTTTTGGTTTATGAACGGAACAAAAAGACAACACTGTAATTAAATGCCTGTTATACTTATACAAAATAAATATCAATGGTGTGCAAATGAAAAAACGTGATTAGCTACAGTTGGTTTTAACATCATTGTAGTAAGTGTGCATCGTCAGGTGTTTCTGGTCTGTCGAACATCATTCACTCTCGTCTCTTCTGTGTGGCTCCACCTTCCAGAGAGTATTCCACGTGATATAATGCTCGATCACCATTCTTCCACTTGGTCTAGGCTCCCTGCTGACTCATCACCACTGCTCTGCAGGTCTGCCAGTGTAAACTATGTGCTTAACCAAAAATAAAACTCGCCAGAGCTCTGTCCGTTTTTGAATGGATTTAACTGAACAACTAAATATAACAAAAAAACCCAGCTGTACACTATTATCAACTTCTTGTTAAACTTGGATGACAATTATTGGTTACAGAAAACATGGGACAGTTAGTATCAGTCACGATTGACTTCTCCAGTGCAAACTTATTTTTCTTTGTGGGTGTTTGTGAGGAACAGAAGGGTGTATGAGAGGAACAGGAGGGTGTATGAGAGGAACAGGAAGGTGTATATGAGGAACAGGAGGGTGTATGTGAGGAACAGGAGGGTCTATGTGAGGAACAGGATGAGAGGAACAGGAGGGTGTAGGAGGGAAACAGGATGGTGTATGTGGGGAACAGGAGGGTGTATGTGAGGAACAGGAGGGTGTATGTGAGGAACAGGAGGGTGTATGTGAGGAACAGGAGGGTGTATGTAAGGAACAGGAGGGTGTATGTAAGGAACAGGAGGGTGTATGTGAGGAACAGGAGGGTGTATGTAAGGAACAGGAGGGTGTATGTCAGGAACAGGAGGGTGTATGTGAGGAACAGGAGGGTGTATGTGGGAATGAGGGAAACATCAATGTGTTTCTTTCCCACGAGGATGCTGGAAGTCCGTGACTGAAAGTCAGGATTGTTTTTCTCTAAACTGGGGATAACATGAAATTTGGGTTTGGGTTTCTGTTTGTGATGTTTTTTACTACCAGTGAACTCGTCTACTTGAAGTGTTGAAGAAGCTCCAGTGTAGAAAACAGATACAGTATTGTCACTCTCAGCTATGTGAATATGCTCCGACATTATGAGACAAAATCAGGTTGATATGTATAAGAATGTGTCTTGGTACATTTCCATATCAAAGTGTCTGTCTCCTGTATCTCTCACCTGTGCATTCACAAACACACACTGTAAGCACAAGGAGGAATGGAAATGGACCCGCCTCTGTGTCCAAATCAATCAGGAAGTGGAGCCTTCTTCAAAGTGATTGGACATCAATAACCAAATATGCTGCCTTTGAAGTCTCCACTGTGAGGATTTAATAAATCAAGATGCAGTCACGGTTGCTATGCAACAAAAGGCAGGTTATCCCAGCATCACGCTTGAGAAGACGTGAAACTCTTTAAAAGGGTTTGAATCCCTGACTGTGAAAATTATGGATTAAGCCACGGGAAAGACACCTATTGGTTTCTCTCTTGTTTTTTATAGTTTGTGGGGAAAAGTAAAGAAACATAAACCCAGATTGTTTTGGAACTGACAGATACTCTTCACAAAAACAGTTAATGATACGCAAAACAAAGGTGAAACAAACTGAAAGTGGTGCTGATCAAATACTGTTGGAAAAATACAATGGCCCTCACTTATCAATCTGGTGTAGAAACCAGCGCATTTTTGGGTGTAGAAATCATCGTACGACAGGGTCCACGTGGGACTTATGAAACGTGCGTATCTGGCTGATCACGGCGTACGCAAGACCGGGTGTTGCTAAGTGTGGCGGCTGGAAAGGATCGTCTTTTAAATACCATGCCCCTATATATTCACGGTCCTCGCCCCCAGAGTTTACGGCATGAGAGAAACGAGATGTGACCTGAGTGACACCATAACAGAAAGCAGTAAAGAGGAATAACATTGTGTTGTCTGGCAGCCTGAAATGTAGGATTAAAGAGCTTCAGAAGAAATGCGCCTGCATGGAAATCTCAACAGCATTGTTTTTAAATATAAAAAATATATAACATCCGTGATATGTAACGTATATAATATAGGCTATAATATAATTTTTTAAAATACTTTTAGTTTAAAAAACCTGGTCAGACCATACGATCGCTACAATGTAGCCTAGTGTTGCGGGTCTTAAAAGAAGCAGCTCCCGGAGCGGACCAGAGGACGCCAGCCGGACCCCACCTGAAATTATCCCAGATCGTGGAGCGAGTGGCTTCTTTCATTGGTTCAGCCTCAATATCAGGCAGTGGTACAGGCGAACCTGCTTCTGTGTCGGATAACGTCGGCTGCACTGGCAGCTCGCCATAAAAGAGAAGAGAAACCTGAAACGTCCTGCATCACATGAACAACGTGTTTGATCAAACGCTGTGCAATGTGCACTTCTCATCCGATTAGCCTACTTTCCAAACATAAGAATTTAACACTTACATACAAGAAGGTCCTGACTCCGTCTTACAGCCTCCAGATTTCTTTATTGGTTATTATGTCACATGTAGTCTCTGGCCTCAGCGCGTCTGCTGTGCGCAATTACACATGTGGCACATCAGCGTATTTATTATTTTAATCTACGGACATACTGATTAGTTATGATCTAATGTTAATGTTCTGAATTCTTAAATATTTCATTTTTCAGAGGCTAAAAGTTGTGTTTAGTATGTCTGGAAGTTTTTATGTTCTTTTGAAGTAACAATTTGTAGTTTTTCTGTTTTAATTTGTCTCGGTATTTTCTGCAGTGATATTCCTGTGCGCTGAAAGTTTAACATGTATTTACTGAAAGCAGCCTCTCTAATCTTTAATCTTTAAAGTAAATCGATTAAACAAACAAAAATTAATCAAATAAAACACACAACTTAATAAATCATCTGAAGCTGCGCACTGCTTGCTGAGCTGGTCGATCTTAAGGTGTAATCAGCAGCCTGATTGGTTGATTGTCTCATTACAGCTGTGCACCAATCACGCTCCTCCAGCAGGCAGCACGGGTGGATGATATCTGGCCTCGAGGACATCATGTTGTTGGCGTTCCCCACAAGACATGATTCATTTCTCAGCTGAGATTTCACAGTTCCTGTGGGAGAGGGAGCGGCTAGTGATTGACACTTTAGCTTCATCAGATGAACTGCAGTTCTGGAACTTATGGTGTGCATGGACAGTTTGAACTTTGGCTGCATGTTGACAGAGACGTCAATGTCATTCTTAATGAGTTGTCCTCTCTTTGGAGCAGGTGCCCAGGTTAAGAAAGTCCCACTGGGATCTTTTCAGTTCAGATTGTTTTCATGTGGTGTCGGACACATCGGAAAAACAAGCGTAAAATGCAGACGAACGCCTGCTCAAGTCGGAACAACAACTCAGAAACTCAAGGAAGTGGTGCCCGGCTTGCCCACTTGACGTAACAATCATCATCAGGGCAAAATATGTTTTGTTTATGTTAAGATCCTTTTTATTAATTCACGTGTTGCACATCAACTTTTTGATGAAATGGAACGTGTAACAGAGACATTGCACTCTTCTTCTTCATAGCGTCCCCGATGTTTGGTGCTGTTGTTACAATATTCTGACTTTCCGAACTGAAATCTTGTGAACACACTGTCAGAAAAATGCCTTCCCAACTGGGAAACTGGCACAATCCGAGGAGCACCTGAATGCAGCACGTCATCTCTAAGGGTTAATGGAGGTTAGATGAAGGAGTTAAAACAATGAAACTGATTACTGGTCTGCGTGGAGTTGCTGTTCTTACAGTTTAAAGAATCCCTTTAGGTAACTTTATACGTTCAGCTCTATTCTCATATCTCTGTTTCTTTCTTCTCCTGTTTCTGCAGGCTCTGGATTATGAGGCGAAGAAGTCATACACCTTCAAGGTCGAGGCGTCCAACGCACAGCTGGACCCCCGTTTCCTTCATCTGGGGCCCTTTAAAGACTCAGCAATAGTCAAGGTGACGGTGGTGGACGTAGACGAGCCTCCTGTGTTTACAAAGCCTGCATACTCTCTGGAAGTGTACGAGGACACTCCTCCGGGAACCATCATCGGCTCGGTGACGGCTCATGACCTGGACGCCAGCAGCAGTGCTGTCAGGTAACAAAGGAGTCATTGTCCAGATGGAAAAATGTTGAAAACCCTGAAGAGACCCTGTCAAACTACACAATCAGTTTGTTTTAAAAGTCACTGAGCTGTCTCACTGGGTTTCCTGTGACAAACGTTTTTGTTTTCCCCATTGGTGGAGGAGGAGGAGGAGGAGTATCTGTCAAATCTGTGTCATCTGATGAGTTTTTCTGAGCAAACCACTGTAAGCTGGGTGTGACTCTCATGGACTGTGTGGACTGCTCTCACCTCTGCAGGTATTCTCTGGAATGGCTCTCAGAGTCCGACAGCTGTTTCGATATAGATACTGTTGAAGGAACCATTTCGACCAATGACTTCCTGGACAGAGAGACGGCTGTGCAGCACAACATCACTGTGGTGGCGACCAAAGTCAGTAAGTATCCGTCCTTCAAATGCCCTCCGTCTGAAACAGAACACCTCCTCTAACATAGAAATGGAAGTATCTGTGATGTCTTCACTGAGCTTCATGAAGTTCAAAAGCTTAAAATCAGCGCTCTTCCATTGAGTCAGCGATCAATGCTTGAAGGACCGTCTGCGAAGAACCATAAAGGCCCAAATATAAGACTTATTTCCAAGCCGGCACCGCCAAAGGATTGCCGCCATTCTGTGAGTAATACTGACATGTGACAGTCTTAAAGTCTGAAGATCTGCTCTTCAGAAAGTCTAATTTCAAAATGCAGTCATGAGATGGGTTGTCTTATAATCAGGGTGGTCTAATATCCAGGTCAATACTGTTCTTGATTGTTGGTGGTGGAGTCTATCCATGAAGACAACGTCAACCACAAAGAGCTGAGGTTTGAAATCAAACAGCCAGACAGAAACAAAAAGCTAAGTCGTAGTAGTAGATAAAAAAAGTGAAACCACCTTTGATGGAGCTCACAGATACAAATCCTCCTTTGAGTTTAAAGATAATTTATTTTGACTTTAGTCAAAAAATAAGAAAATCTGCACCAAATAATAAAAGGACAAGTCTTCACTGAGATAATGATGTTCTTTAAACATAGTCATGTTCCAAATCTCAGGCTTTCTGGTACCTGGTACCTAAACCTGCACCCCCATCCCCACCCAGACCCCAGCCCCACCCTCACCCCCCTTGAACCCTCTGCACACGCTCAGAGTGCAGCTGCAGCCGTGGTGACTTTAGTGAAACTACGCACTGTCAGCTGAACTTATCCAGACTGTGTGTGTGTGTGTGTGTGTCTGATTACCTCTATGAGCTCCTGGAGGAGTCAGAGTCAAAGGCCTGCTGAGTCACAACTCTGCCAGCCATACCCCTCCTCACCACCCCCTCCCCCATTACAAATCCTCAGAGTCCGTCACTGGCAGTGAGAGTGTTAAACACATGTTCAATACATGTTCACTACAAATATAGAATATCTGGCATGTTTTGACATGATTTACTTGTATTATGTAAGGACACAGATGTAAACAGATGATACACACAAATACACACTCACACACAGTTAGGGTCATATATGATAGAAATCTGTCTCCATCTAGTGGGCAAACAGAGAAAGGAGATAAATATTTATTTGACTGAATTATTTTACATCCAGAATTATTTGGATTTAACTTTATGTGTTTTTTCTTTATTTTCTTTTATTATGACACATTTTAAAGAGGACATATTATCCTCCTTCTCCGCCTTTTCAAACAGTCCCCTGTGGTCTAAATGAAACATCTGTGCTTTGCTTTGGTCAAAATATAACATGAATCAAGCACCAGAGGAGGTTTGTGACCCTGTATAAACCAGCTCTCTCAGAACGCTCCGTTTTGGTGTGTGTGTCTCTTTAAATGCAATTGGGCTTTTTTTGACCAGAATCGCACTGTGAAATCAGAAGATGAGCAAATTAGAAACTCTGTGTTGTAAGACTTATACAGACCACAAACAAAGGACTGGATGGGTTTATTTCACATTTTGTGGGTCAGTAGACACTCAGGTTACATAAATATATGTTCAAAAACACTGTACAAGTGGATTCTTCATAATATGTCCCCTTTACAACAACATAACCTTTGACCTCAGGCTGGACAGACTCTATGGATATGAATGATTTGAAAATACTTCACTGTATGACATCATAATAAGCAGGATTAATACAACATCGTAGTGATGGAGGATTGTTTCTCTGACAGAGTGAGTGTTTGATGATGTCTGCCTTCACACCGTAAAAATCAATATGTCTCATTAACAGCCGTGTCACTGAGTGTCTCTGATCCTTCATCTCTTTCAGATAACCCGCTGCTGTCTACCAAAGTGTCTGTGACCGTCGACGTCCTGGACGTGAACGAGTTCCCCCCTGAGCTGTCTGTTCCTTCAGACACCTTCATCTGTGAAAACACTCGAGTGGGACAGGTACAAAAGAATAAAGATTATTCTAAGAAACAGTTGAGGACGTAGCATGTGTTTATCATCAGACGCTGAGCAAGCTCTAAAAGTTCTTGAATGAACCAGACGTCATGTTAGTAGATTTGAATCCTCCATCACTCCACCTGCAGACCTGAACAGACTGCGTCTGTGTTTCCTCCCTGAGCAGGTGATCCAGACAGTCGGCGCCGTGGACCAAGACCTTCCTCCTGTAGGTCAGAGGTTCTTCTTTAAGTCCCCCAAAGACCTCCGCAACAGAAACTTCACCGTCCGAGACTTTGGGAGTAAGTGCTGATTGAAGGGGAAGAAGATGTTAACCAATGGTTTCATTTCAACACACACACGCACACACACACACACACACACACACACACACCTTAGTATAATTCAATTCAATTCAATTTATTTTGTAAGACACTTTACAAAAAACAGGTCAAATACCTTACTCTTTGTCTGTTAACATTACAAAAGAGCAGGTAAAAAGACCTTACTCATTGTTATGTTACAAAAAGCAGGTAAAAGACCTTACTTATTGCTATATTACAAAGACCCGGCCTATCCATCATGAGCACTTTAGCAAAGCAGCAAAAGTTACAGTGGTAAGAGAAAACTGCCTTATTAAAAGGCAGAAATCTTCGGCCGGATCCCCGGCTCATGACGAAACAGCCTTCACAGGCCTAGACTGCTCCGGTCTAGGCCTGTATAGTACCTTTAGAACCAGAATCAGGTCTGATGGACTTACATGACTGTAGCCACCAAGGTGTGTGTGTGTGTCTGCGTGTGTGTGTGTGTGTCTGCGTGTGTGTGTGTGTGTGTGTGTGTGTGTGTGTGTGTGTGTGTGTGTGTGTGTGTGTGTGTGTGTGTGTGTGTGTGCGTGTGCGTGTGTGCGTGTGTGCGTGTGTGCGTGTTTTGATTCAGTCTCCTCTCTCACTTTGTTCTCAGATAACACAGCCGGCATTGTGACTCGGCGTTCGGGCTTCCAGCGGCGGCTGCTGGACGTTTACACTCTTCCTGTTGTGGTTGAAGACAGCGGTTACCCCGCCCAGAGCAGCACAGCCACGCTCACCATCCGAGTGTGTTCATGCGGGGTTGGGGGCTCACTGCTCACCTGCTCAGCTGAGGCCATCTTCCTGCCTGTGGGCCTCAGCACCGGAGCGCTGATGGCCATCCTGCTGTGTGTGGCTCTGCTGATGGGTAAGACCGCCCTTCCCTAACCAAGGAACTCCAACATGCAGACGCAAATACAGAGAAACAACAACTCTAGTTCAGTCAGGACCACTTTGTCAAGAAGGATACTTTGAAGCAGTTATTTATATTTGGTGGTATGACTCTGTGAGGGATCTCCCCCCCTAAGGCAGGAAGATAAGCAGAATGAAACCCTGCACATGTGAGCTTAAAGGCAGGGTTTGGTCATTTTTGAAAACTGATGTTTAATTTTCAGGTAGTCCAGCAGGTGGTGCTGTTGAGGCAGCTAGATAAAAAGAGAGAGAAGCACTGATTTTATTAAACCCTGGGTGGGGGGGGGAGGTTCGCTGCTGTTTGTGCTCACTTTAAGTATCACTGAATGAAACCTGAAACATGTTGGGCTCTTTTAATTGTTCTCACACACCCACAATCCTTAGAGTAGTTTTACTAACATGGTGTGACAAGTTGAAGTTAATTTTTAAACAAGTTGATTGTATGACCTCTTAATTTGGGCCCCCGATTAACTACTGTGATGTTCATATTCATAAAGTAGCCAAACTACACAAATTAGGCTGCTTCTCTGCCCTTAAACAACATCATTTTGTTTGCAGTGTGATCGATCTTTGTTCAAACTAAACTTAGTTTTAATTCAGAGTTATTTAAAGGGTTAACATCTACAATCATTCCATGACAAACTACATAATGACACTCTTCATTTTCTCTCTAAATTCGGAGTAAATTATTCAGATTATCGTCTTATGATATGATGATATGATGGTATGATGGTAAGAGGCTTTTTTTTACCGGTGAGTTAATGTGTGTGTTTGAACACTAGAGGGCAGCAGCAGCCAAAGAGGAGCCTCAAATGATCACGCCATCTCGTTTCTGCTTCTGTTGCAGAGGATCACAGTTACATAACCTCTCTAACCTCATGACAACACGCACAGCTCTTATTGTGTGTGTGTGTGTGTGTGTGTGTGTGTGTGTGTGTGTGTGTGTGTGTGTGTGTGTGTGTGTGTGTGTGTGTGTGTGTGTGTGTGTGTGTGTGTGTGTGTGTGTGTGTGTGTGTCTGTGTGTCTGTACGTGTGTGTGTGTGTGTCTGACTGACTGATAGCATGTCACAGAAGTGTAGCAGGCTCCTCAGAGCATTGTCCCTTTATTGTCGACCTCTGTGGAGTGGGAGGATAACTGAAAGACGACATAGACGAGCGAGGAGAAAGGAGGAGGGGCTAATAGCTGCTAACACAAAACATCCACCACTCTCTCCGGCCTGATGTCACATATTTCCTCATCTGTGTCAGGGCCGTGCTATGCTGTTAAGGACGCGGCCTGAGGACATGCTTGAACTGCTCCTGGTCTCACCATGGAGCGGTGAATCCAGATACAGTTTTTATAAACCCCCAGAGTATTACACAATTGAAGTTGTAATATATGATTAACGGTGTCAAATGCTTTGTGCGAGTCAACCAATACAACCCCTGCAACACCACCGCCATCCATTGATGCCTTAACCTTCCCTATGAAACATAGTTTTTCTGTTTCTGTGATCAGGTCTGAATCCAAACTGCATTAAGGTTGCTATGATGGCGGCCTGCGGCTCGTCTATGTTGTTGGTGTTATGTGATATTCTCATATTTTCAGACCCTAGATTTGATATTTTCATGAGCTGTGAGCCGCAATCATCACGATTAAAACAGAAAAATATGTTTCACTTCATGCCTGATGAATGTAGACATCATGAAAGTTTAACTTTTGAATGAAATTTAGCAGAAAAATGAACTTTTTCCCCGATATTCAAACGTATCGGAGCTGCTCCTGCACATCCATAAGTCAGTGACATCTCAGCAGAATTTCCCGTTGTTAAGCCGCAACCAAAAACAAACATGGAAAATAAATCAGGAGCGAGCGGTGAGTGAAAAAAACAATTCTAAAAGCTGACACGATTGCTGCTGAGCTCTGGACCTCAGTGACAGCGTCCTGTCACGGTGGTCAGACGAACGCCAGCTTCAGTTTCCCTGAGCCGCCATTTCAGATATTTGTTTTGTTTTTTTTGATTTTGATGAAGAGAGAGCGGAGAAGGTGTAGAAGCCGTCAGCACTGGGAGTTGTACTTTCCTCCTCAAAAACATTCAAAGATGGCTGCCGCACCTCCTGTTCACAACCAGCTCTTAAATTAACAAGAGAAAGAAAATCACTGTCAGACAATTATTCATTAATAAACTCGTTAACACTAACGTGGTCGACATCTGCATGAGGCTGTGAATTATGAATAGCCGGAGCTTCCTGTAAGTAAACTCAAGCGTTTAGCAGAGGCAGAAGAATATACAGATTGTTTTACTGTTTGAAACAGAGAGAAAAGAGTGTTAAAAAGACGAGTGACTGCTGAGGGAGAGAGTTAAAGCACAGCCGCTTGGAATGTGAAGACGATGAATGTGTGTGTGGGTTTTTCTTCTCAGACCCGGTGGGAGATTTGTCTGAGCTTTAAGACGCTCAGGAGATCTTGAACCTTTAGGGCCAGACTCTGCGGACCCTTAAGGGACGAGCAGGCCGGCGTTTGAATGGACGTGAAGTTATCAGGAGGACAGCATCAGTGTTTTTCTCTCACCTCAGTGCTCGTCTTAAAGGGCTACGGCTCTTTGGCGACAGCTTGTTGAAGCTTCAATAATACGGGCGTTAAGGACTGAGGGACACATGACCTTTTCCACATGGATGGAGAAGCTGCAGGAAACATAACTCAACTTCCCCTCTTACCTGTTCTTCTCACACGACGTGGGACTCTCAGACTTCTTCACATAAACAAACATGAAGGTGTGGATTCAAACCCCACAAATCATCTGATAGATTATGAAGGTTATTCAGCGGCCGCTTGGAGAAACAGCGCAGCGCCCAGCGGTCAAGTTGAAGGCGCTGTTGACATCGCTGGCGCTCTTTTCCAAATGTATGATATTCCCTCCTACAGATCGTGTCTTGTACCCTCATCCTCCTCGCTCCATGTCTGATCAGGAAATAAACGCTCTCAAATATAAAACATTCAGTAAAAAATAACAGAGCCGTGTCAGTCATACAGCGTCCGTTGTCAACAGGCTGTTGTCATGGAGACAGGACGGACGTGCAGCGCTTTTCTTCTCAGAGTGCAAACACTCAACGCAAGCACACCTGAGCGCACAGTCAGTGCTTTTCTGCCCAGAAAAAAAAAACGCTCGGTGTACACAGGGCCTTGGGTGCAAACATTCTTTCTTCACATCCAGATGTGTGTCTAAATGTCATTAACGCTAAACGCTTTGTGGATTAGACCGTGAGACGGAGCAGATGATGAGCATCTTTTGGAGCTGTAATTCATTCTTAGTGAATCAGGCCCTGGGACTCCTTTTGCATCCGATGGAGTCGCCCCCTGCTGGCTATTAGAAATACAGAAAGTGCAAAGAACTCTTTCACGCCTCCAATGCAGAGATGAACCATTTCTTCTCTTAAAGCCTCGACACACTGTGGAGATCGTTTTTCGGCCGATTTGACATGTTGAATCAGTGTCGGCGGTTGGTGAGAGGAATCTCTCTGATTGGCTGTTGGAAGGTTTCATTTCTCTCCAGCTCTCAGGTTCAGGAAAGCCCCTTGAGCATGCTGCTGTAGTATCCATGCTTTCACCCATTAGTGCAGTTTCTCCTTATTTGTCGGCTTTTCTTTTTCCACTAAAAGACCAAGAACTGACAACACCAGCGCCATTTTCTACTTTTTATCAGACATTATTCTCCATTAGTAGACTACCTATAATACGAGTGGTGAGCGACAGCGGTGTGAAAATGGTCTTCTCGTATCATAATAACGGACTACCGCCCCCTGCTGGCATGGAGAGTTATTTCCTCTCACTGCAGAACGTACGTGGTGGTTGGCCGTCGGCTGGAGTCTTTGAGGTGTGTTCAATTGCAACTTTTTGGCCCAGACGTGAGGCGACGCCACAGGCAGCCTTCGTCACAACTAGTTCTTTGCCGTCTGCTTGGTGGGTCAGGGTCTTTAGATTATGTCTTACTCCACTTCTTAGTCTCTGTATGACTCTCACTGCATGATTTAAAGTGTTTTATAATAAATCAGTGCTTCTTAAAAGATCACATTCATGATGAGCTTCTGAAGCTGCATCCGTTTTATTTCTCAGTGCAGTTTGGGTTAGAAGATGCTGCGTGGTGTTTTATCCCCCCCTCCCTCCCCCAAAACTCCAGCACAGTGATCTCTCCCACCTGCATAATTAAAACACTACAGTGCCGCACTCTTTTTATTGTGCAGTAAATTTGAGTGTGTATTTCCTCTGCATTGTTTACATTTCTGAACAACACTTGAATGGAGTATGGGCTTTTACTGGCTGTGTATTCATTTTGATGTTTTTGCAATCACTCATATCCCTCTAATAATGTGTGTTCCTATGTGACCACTCGTTTGTCTCTGTGACAAAGTTTTCTCCCTTTTTACTTTTGAATTAGTCTACAGATGCATTTACATGACTCATTAGCTTCATTAGGATCTAAAAGGACGTCTTCCTAAAACTTTTCATAGACACATTAAAGAAGCAGAGGAGGGTTTTCTGGCCCAACCAAAGAGGCAAAGGTCAAGAAGCTCCAGCAGCACTTGTAGTTTGAACACCAATTTTATTATTTTATTAGGCCGACTTGTTCGGCTTGTGGCCTTCATCAGGGTCAGGGATGAAGGCTACTACAGCAGGGTAAACATGTAACTCACCACAGGAACATCGGGCAAGTGTTAGCATGCTAATGTTAGCACTCTTTAGTTAGCTCGTAGCGTCACATTGCACACACATTGACACAGAATGATCGTGATCTAAAAACTCTTACTAACATCCAAATAATCAGTGAGTATCTTCTTCTTCTCTAGTTCTTGACTAAAACAGCTTTTATACACAAGGGGAGGAGCCGGCCGTCCCGTCCATGTAAACACAGCTCTGACAACAACACAGCCAGCGGGACTCGAGCTTCTCCCTCATTGTAGACAGTCAGGACTCAGAGACACATTTACACAGGATAGACTGGATTTATGATATATTCATGTGGAACATGTCACACATTCTGCCTTTAATCAGACCCAAAGACGGCTGTGGTTATCGACCTTCATTGCAAGGATAATAATTTAAATCAATACAAGATTTTATCTATGGAGGTTTTTGTGTCAAATTTGAATCAAGTGGGCCATGTCAAGATTAAAAAAAGACAGGAAGTAGTAAACCCTGACAAAGCCATGATGTCATAGTTTTATTTTTTTACTTTATCGTTTTATTTTTTTATTTTCTTATTTTTATGATGACTCTAGTTAGGTATATTTTTACCTTTAAAAGCATTGTCAATTAGTTTAATGTGTGACTTGTATATTTCAAACAGAGACTCTTGGGGAGATAACGGTGCATTGATAATATCCACATTCATGATTGAAATGTTGACCTTTGACCTTTGTGAACAACACCGGAGAAAAACTTTATACAGCAAACAGCAAGCCGCTTATTGACGAGCCTCTGAGTGTTGGGATTTGAATCAACAGCCCGTTGTCCAGTTTAAAAATAAAAGCACCACATGTCACATACTGTTTGCAAGGGGAAACCGAAATCAACAGAAATATTTAACGGATGCAGTGTGGACAGCAAGCGGGCGATCATGTGCAATGCAACGTGATATCTAATATTTGGTGCTGTTAGGACACGGTGTTAGAATGGTTTGGCTCTTGTCATAAATAAATAAATCATAAAATAAAGTGTTCCCTTAATGTCAGTTTTTTTGAAAATAAAACTGTTGATGTTTGAAATTGTGATGCCGGGATCCTGGAGAGTGTCAAACTGTCAGTTTTTTTTTTCTATTTTACATTTTTATTGGGGTGCAGACAATGAAGTCTTTGAGGTGAACTCTGTAGTCCAAGGTCAATCTGGAGTCTCAGGCTGCTGGTTAGTTCCTACAGAAATGTAGTTTTGTGTGGATGTCATGCATCAGTATTCATGAAACATATTGTTCACACATTCGATACAGATTAACCTGCATGCATCAATTTGATTTTTACTGACCCATAATCTCTTATTGTGTCTTGCAGTTGTGGCTGCACTTTATATGAGCCAGAGGCGACACAAAGAGAAAGAGACTCTGATGACGTCCAAGGAAGACATCCGTGATAATGTCATCCACTATGACGACGAGGGCGGCGGCGAGGCTGACACGCACGCCTTCGACATGGGCACCCTGCGAAACACACACCCGCACCGCTCGAGCACCCTCAGCAGCTCATCCAGGAATGATAAGAATGGCTATGGAGATGGCGTCCTGCTGCATCTCAGCGTTCGCTCAGACAACGTCAGGACACCTGACATCCACTGTCAAACAGCGTGCGTCATTGCTGCGGTGAACAACACGGGGACACTCTCCTCCCGTGGCCGAGTGACTGAGGGCGACGCGGTAAAGATCAGGGAGTTCATCGAGCAGCGGCTGGAGGAGAGTCAGAAGGGTTTTGCCGCCCCGCCCTACGACTCACTGGCTACTTACGCGTACGAGGGCGACGGCTCGGTGGCCGGCTCGCTTAGCTCCATCGAGGAGTCTTGGGTCATTGACGACACGGGAGACTTCAGCTCTCTGGGTGACTGGGGACAGCCGTTTAAAACGCTGGCTAACATTCTGGACACACAGCCACCCGCTCAGACTGATGAGAGCTGAGAGGAGACTCACAGAGGGCGGCCATGTTGGATTTAGCTTCATTTTTTTAGACATTTTTTTACCGTGACAGGCACCTGCTAGCGTGATGTGAGAACTGTTTAGTCAGTTGTCGGTGTGAAGTAGAGCTGTGGACTGATTAGCAGGAGAGCAGTGGATCTAGCTTCTTTAAAGTGATAGCCCCTCAAAGTGCCTGAGGTACTCCATGTTTGTATTTGAATTCATGTTACTAATAAAATATCTTCAACATACTGAGTTTTTATTTCTAAGTATTTGATCATCAGACAGGAAGTTTATCTGCTCACGTCTTCACGATGAGGGCCGTGTGCTCGAAACCGATTCAACAACTACCCATGGATCACAAATTCAAGATGGAGAGAGTTATGGGCTCTGTCTGCAGTGTAAGCTGTCCTTTCTATGTTGTTTCTGCATTTACATAAATGAATACATGAATATCAGGTGATCCCGATGATGCATGAAAACCACATGGGGGGGGGGGCAGGAAGTGAAGAACACTAGGAAAGGAATACGCTAAAGCTCTAGAGATGGACCAGGCTTACAAATGTTTAATGTTATGAATCGTCATTTTAAAGTCAATCTCATAGAACAATAACTTTCAACAGGCAGAATAGTAACTCTCTCATGTCCACAGAGCACATCGGTCGCCCCCTGGTCATCCCTGGTCACCCCCCTGGATTTATGGCAATCCGAAAGGAAGAGCTACAGTGCATAATTAAAGGATACCTCTCCCATTTGCATTAAGCTTTGTATCATTAGAAACCTGGTCGTAATTTTGAATGGTCATGCATCCCGCCCTCATTTTCCCCTGAGACGGGAAATCTTTGTATTTCTAAGTCTGAAAAGGAGCTTCCAGTGACACAATAAATGTCATTTTGCGTCATCTGAAGCTGTGGTGGTTAGCAGGGTGAAACTACAACGCTAGTTTCTCATGTTTTTCGACCACTGAAGCTACAGACCAATCACAGATCAGTGTGTGGGAACTCACTCACAGAATCGAAACTTAAAGTCCGCCATATTGCTAGGAAGCTATGCTAACAGGCTCTAGGGAGAAAGCTGATAATGGCAAAAAAAGATGATATGGATGAAGGGGATTTTGAAGGTCTTATGCTCGAATCGGATGTTCGTGGCTATCTCTACAAATATCTCTACATATATATAGCGGCGAGATGGCTGCCGGTCGTGTGTCTTGGCTGCTGCGGCCTCAGCATCCGAGACACAAGACCGGCCTGTCGCTGATGGTGCAGCAGCCGAGACATAAGGTCTGCCTGTTGGCGGCAGTGAGGACGAGAAGCCGGGGCCGGCTTGAGCTGGGGCGGACTGGTAGTGTCGGTGCTCTCACTGTTTGCCTATGGACACAGACGTAGAGTCTGTTTTCTGCCAGGAATTTCAAAGATACCAATTCCTTCTGGAAGAAATCTCGGAATCTGTTGAGGAAACGGCCGTATGTGTAGTTTGTAAATATAGGACCTTAGTGGGAGTGGCCTGCGTTGCTGTGCATTCTGGGATTTGGTGTCTTTCATCAACATGAGCCAAAAAGACACTTTCTGCCTTTTCACGGCCAAGAAGGCATCAACTTCAAAATGTATTTCACAATTCTACATATATGACCCAATGTCAATAGAGATTCATGTTTCAACGGGTCAAGTATCCCTTTAACGTCTTCAGAAGAACAGGAACCATCAGCACTTCAGCTTAATGAGACTCAACTGGCTCACCTGTCTCTCTCTCTCCCTCTCTCTTGCTCTCTCTCCCTCTCTCTCTCTCTCTCTCTCTGTCTTTCTCTCTCTCTCTCTTTCTCTCTCTCCCTCTCTCTCTCTCTTTCTCTCTCTCTCTCTCTCCCTCTCTCTCTCTCCCTCTCTTGTTCTCTCTCCCTCTCTCTCTTCCTGTCTCTTTCTCTCTCTCCCTCTCTCTCTCTCTCTTCCTGTCTCTTTCTCTCTCTCTCTCTCTTAAATCAGCTGAAATGCTCCTGCAGGAAACACCCGATCCTTCTCGCACTACAAACTTCTTCCTACAGAGTTAAGGCACAGTCGTTAATCTCCAATGTGTGGAGACGTCTGTCAGGAGGGTTCATTTGTGTTCTTAGAGAGAGTATGAAAGTCCCACCTGGGCCCTGCATTACTCTGAGGCAAATAAAAACAGTCGGGAGACCATTTGGTTCTTCCTTCGGAAATTGCCAAATCAATATCTGTCTATGTGCATCGAATCCATCTCGTCCTCTGCGGCGACTGTGATGGAAAATAGATTTTGTTGATTGCTACGGCGTAACAGATAGCTTCAGACTGTGAGGATGACCTTCACTCTATCAGCCCTGATCTCAGCTGTGACAATGGACAACAGTGAGCTCTGCAGGAGAGGGTCAATTCACTGCTCAGTTCATTTTGAACTGGAAGGTAAATCACAGCCGCGGTATGATCGCTCCAATCAGAACGTGTCTGGATGAGGGACAGATGGATATGCGGGATGAGGAATGACTCTGAAGTTATATTGAAAGTGGAAAATCTATTTCCCAGCTGACTTCATTGAGGAGTATAAAGAAGCACGAGTCGCTCAGCTGTGTCTTTGATGAAAAGGTGGAGGAGGGATCAAAAGAGTGTGTGTGTGTGTGTGTGTGTGTGTGTGTGTGTGTGTGTGTGTGTGTGTGTGTGTGTGTGTGTGTGTGTGTGTGTGTGTGTGTGTGTGTGTGAGAGAGGTGGATATGATAGATATAAGAGCTTTAAAATCAGTATACTGTGTTCCTATAATCACTGAAAAAATTCCCAAGAATCTCTTACTGTGCTGATTAAGATGCTGCTGCAGACGTTCTGATGTACAGAAATAACCCCGGCTCTTTAACAGAAGCAGCAGACTGAGATGGCTTAACTCGATGAATCTGCACACGGTGCTGAACAAATGGATTTAAAGCTGATTCTACTTTGTTGTAGTCACAAGAAAGCCTCTTTTTTTCATTGGAGGAACAGGGAGAAAAAGATCAGGCCTCAGGGGAAGGAAATTGTTTGCATTTGAGTGAGCAGAGACTCTCTTGTATATTTCTTTGATTTATTATAACGGTGAATTACTCACCCCTAACTAAGTCTAGACTTTGTACTCATTTTCCCCAGATCACCAGTCATCCAAAGGCTACTGACGCATAGTTGCCTGAATAATCGACAATCTGGAAGTTGGTCAAGGTCGGATATTTTGGTTCTCCTGTGTGAGCGAATGTAATTTTCTAACTTGGCTGCTGTCGAGGACACACGTTCAGAGAAACACAAAGAATGGGTTTGAACGGGAAAACACCCGTATTTGATGACCAACAGACGAGAAACAGCCCTTTAAAAAAATCATTTCGGTTTATGTTGGCATGCGGATTGGGGGCAGCTGTGGATCAGTGGTAGAGTTGGTCATCTGTCAACGGGAAGGTTGGGGGTTTTACTCCCAGCTTCTGCAGCCCTTGTCCGATGTGTCCTTGGGCAAGACACTTAGACCCAATTTACTCCCGCTGCTTCATCTGTGGCATGTGAATGTGCATGAATGACGGTGCTGGCGGCGGATATGTCAGAAAAACACATTTGTCTCCCTCTAGACAAATGTGTTTTTCTGACATATCCGCCGCCAGCACCGAGGGACCACGCGGCCTCGGGTGCGGGGATCTTAAAACCGGTACCAACATGAGTTAATACTGATGGACTCTTTACAGAGCGGCCTCTACCATCAGCGAGTGAATGTGTATGAATGGATGAGTTAATACTGATGGACTCTTTACTCAGCAGCCTCTACCATCAGTGTGTGAATGTGTATGAATGGATGAGTTAATGCCATAGACTGTAAATATTACTGGACGAACCCTGACCCGTCTGTTACATAGGCAGAAAATGAGTCCAGTCGACGGCCGCATCCATATTGGATTTGCAGTCTCAAACTAACTTCGGATCAACCTAACAACAGCAGTAAGGCGGGACTGGCGGGACTTAACTCCGCCCATTCAGCTCGACGTTAGCAGTCCACTTCACAGCATAGCTAACAGCTAGGCTGCTATCATCCCCTATACCTGCTCATCCTGAGAAAACTCTATAAACAGTAAGTTAACATTTAACTTTTATACAACACAGTTAAAACGAATTATATTCAACCCAAATATTAAATTAAAGTCTTAAAACTACACTTTTTTAAATATACAACTATGGTTATTAGTTATTTGTCAGAGCAGTTAGACTTTGTTAGTGTTAGCAGAGCAATACATAAACAAAGTTTTATCCATAGACTAAATAAATATGAGACATCCAGAAGAAATCAATATTACAAAGCATACAGTTCATGTTACTGTTCTGATAAAAAGAGGAATGTCTGTGTCTACTGATGTCAACAGCGATGACGGTGAACATGACAATTGAAAAATAATTATTTAGTATTTATTATAAGACATTTGTTTTCTATTGAACCCTGTGAAGTCATGGAGTCTGTGGCCAGTGTCAGCTTCACACCAAAAACTTTAAGTATTAGAAAAAATAGTATTTAAGACTGGCATCTATTATTATTGCAGCTACCTTGTTCAATATTATTCCTGCAGATGTGGCTAATAACAAAAAAACACCCTGAGCTGTCACATGTAGTTAACTGTACATTCTGTCTTGTCTGAGGCATTAATTGAACACCTTTGTATTTCTCCTATAGACACAGTGTGGATTATTGGTGACTTGTCCGTCGAGGTGCCCAGAGAGCTGCAGAGACAGAGGAAGAAACCTGGGCCTCAACAACATCTGCATTTGTTGGTTCTTCTGGGGTGGACTTTGGTTTCTTCTCTTCAACAGCTCGCTGTGAGGGAGGTCTCCCCCGGACGGCCTGAGTGATGTCACCCACAGGATGAGAGCTGGAGCTGGAGCGGGTTTTAAACCTCCTGACAAACCGTTACACCGCACCCGCCTGTCAAGCTGGTCAGCTACATGCCTTATTGTGAATAACTCTTATCCTTCATCAAATCAAAACTGATGAGTCATCAAAACATTCACCCCCTGTACAGTGTGTGTCCATCGAGACATGAGCTAATCACACCTATTTGTTTGTTTTGTACCAACTGTAAACATGTTCATCTCTGCTGTAAAAACAGACTTTTTTTAATGTTGTTTTTCCAGATTAAATAAATATTTCTATATAAATGCACTCCTTTATGTCTACTGATAAGTATACATTTCAGATTTGAAATGACAAGACTAAAATGTGCATTAATGCTCAACTCAATAGCTAAGGGAAGGAA